CATGTCCAGAATGTTGCTTATATCTTCCTTCCATTTGTGTGCCGCAATGGAGTCCGTCGAACCATGAAACTCTGGAGCCTTCAACTTATGGTACCTCCCGACCAAACGAAGCCAAGCCTCCTGCTCAGCCACTCCATCATTAATTGAAGGTGGTGGCGTGACTACCGGTGTCCCCTCTGGTATCTCCTCCTGAATGGGTATTTTCTGCCGACCCTGATCTGCTAACTGCTCCTCGATAGCTGCCAGACGAGCTGCTAATGGTGCTATGAGACCCACTAAGTACTGTAGAGCCTGCTGTGGCTTGGGCTCTCTATCAACTTGCTTAGATCCTTGAGCACGAGTACCTCGGTGTCCACGTACTCTTCCTAACATCTATAGTATATAAGTAGAGCTTATTAGGCAGTAAATAGAATCTCAAGCAGAAAAAGATATAATGTATACCAATAAGTAAATCATATTACATATTACTCATGGCATGCCTTATTATTCAAAGCAAATAGTTCATCATAAAAACAATATTTGTAATTTTGTGCGTATATATATAATACGTCCTCACTCACACTAGGAATTCCTAGCAGACTGTATACACGATTCCTAGGAAACTCTATCCTAACTATACAATATGACACAAGGATGATCCTAAGGATATTGGAACTGGAGCTCTGATACTAACTGTGATGCCTCAGGGTTCACACAAAGCTGCAATCCAAGGTGAAACCCGGATTGTCAAACCTACCAAGCATCAAACACCGTGCTACGACATGTTTCACCATCACAATTACTATCTTTCTAGTGAAAACAACAAATAGGTGAAGGTACAGACAGACAAATAAAAGAAATAGAATAAAGCCAGATATACATAGAGGAAGCATGAGAATAATCATCAGTGAGCCCAACTAAAATAGAGTAGAAATACCTCTGAGCCTGAAATAAACCTCAAGTACAATGAGTCAAATAAAATATCACTATGACTCTCAGCCTGTACAAAATGAAATACAAATCTAGAGTCTGAACATAAACAACTAACTGCGGAGTTCTGAAATAACTACTAAATAGTAAATAGCTAGATTGAATCTATAGGAAAATTTCATCAATCTGCGACTCTCCGTGTGCCTTACTCGCTGGCTGAAAGGGGGGAAAACAATAAGCGTCAAAGCGCTATAGTGAGATCATCTCCATCTCTCCCCAAGGGAAGGGGTAGGAGAATATAGAAAATAGAGTTAGTACATATACATATGAAATCATTCATGGAAGGGGTAGGAGAATATAGAAAATAGAGTTAGTACATATACATATGAAATCATTCATAAAATTCTAAGTGAAAGTTAATATTTAGGAAATCACAACACGAGAGTTAGTACGTCGAGCGAAATAATCCAAATAAGGAAACCCTCATGTATATACCATATCTCAAATCGTGACTCCCTAAATACTAACTCCAAACCCTATGAATGAAAGCAATAAACCAAAAGGAAAACACTCCAAACCTCAAACATGTAGAACAAATATCTCATCATGATCTACACTCGGGTAGATGGATCTAACATAAAAGAAACTCATCCAAACAAAAGCCAACCAAATACCACATTGTGTAAGTCATAGTCCTAGAGAAAGCATCCTACTCACGGGTATTTAAAAATAAAAACCAATTTATAATTTATATTACTTACAAATGTGCATCTCTTATACATTAGCGATACTCTTGTAATATTCTTACTCAATCGCTTTGTGGCAATAGGTTTTATCTCCCTATCCCGGAAATATAATATGATAATACTTTTATAATACTCTTACTTAATCGCCCTGCAAAAATAGGTTTTATCTCTCTATTCCGGAAACATAATATGGCGATACTTTTGTAATACTCTTAATCAATCGCCCTGCGGAAATAGGTTTCATCTTCCTATCCCGGAAACAATAATATTTGTGTATTTTTCTTATTTATCATGTTAACACATTATATTTTAAACATATGTGTACATATCTTGGTGTATGTATCCATATCTGGTGTTTACTAACATTTCCGATGTTAAACAGCTCATAAACATTTTATCATAACAATGTAAGGTTGAGAGACTTGCTCGAAAATCAAAACTGTCTAATTAAAACATGCACAGGCCATATGCATCTTGGCGGTCAACCGCGAATTTGCGACGGTCGACTGCGACGGGTTCCAGTGCCTATCCAGGTATTTGTCCTACACGCGGTCGACCGCCGGGTCGACTGCGACGGGTTCCAGTGCCTATCCAGGTATTTGTCCTACACGCGGTCGACCGCCGCTAGGGCACGGTCGACCGTGAGCCGAAATCCCATACTGTGCAGATTTCTGTACAGTTAATGATCATGACGATAAATTGTGGTATAAAATTGTTTTTAAACATGTGATACTTTCATAAAACATGTCAAAAGCAGTTAAATACTACTGGAAACAATATCAACATGTACCACATGATTATTTGCATATAAAACATGTCAAAAGCAGTTAAATACTACTGGAAACAATATCAACATGTACCACATGATTATTTGCATAAAATTTATTTTCAAAACCCTAATTTATTACTGGAAACAATATCAACATGTACCACATGATTATTTGCATAAAATTTATTTTCAAAACCCTAATTTAGGCATAAGAACTTGAAACAAGAGCAAAACATCTTTCTTCACTTTAAACAACGTTTTAAATCATTCCCAGATCTTGAATACTTCTGTAAATTTCGTTCTCAAACTTTTTAACATGGAAAGACCTAGTCTTTATATATATAATACAAAAGAATTAACTTTTATTTATAAACTAGTCAATTTGGCTCTAATAAACATGTTAAAAACCCTTTAAAACGTTTTGAAAACTAGGAGGGGAATTAGCAGAGATGAACTCGCCTGAAACTTGTAGAAAAATGTTTTAGGATGCCAAGCCAAAGCAGATCTCTAATCCAAAAGCCAAAATCACCCAAAAAATTCACTTGAAAGCCTCCAATATTCTCCAAAAATCAAATTAGGATTTGTGGGGATTTGGTGGTTGTTAGGGTTCTTAGAAAACTGAGAAAAATCGTGAAATTTTGATATATAAACCAGGGAAAACAAATATGAGCTTTAGAAAACCAAAACCAACTCAAAATAGGAATCTGACTTTCTACAGGTTTCACGGTCGACCGGACTGCAATCGACCATGACGATCGACCGGACTGGACTTTTCTAGTTACACATATTTGGCCATTGTGCATGTTTTGACACTTTTCTTTCTCATGAATGAACTTGTTTATACTCAAAACACATGGTATCATACTCATACCCTATTTAACTATATTTATCAAAATAAATATTCATAAATCATAATTAATCTCATATTAATTATATTAACATAAATTTTTGGGGTTTTACAGAGGTGGTGGGAGGCACGCGGTGGAGGAGGAGGCGGTGGAGGCACGTGGGGGAATCGATGGAATCGGTGGAGGAGGCGGCGGAAGATCGAGCGTGCCGGCAAAGATGAGACGGCGGAGGATCGCGAGGGCCGGCAAAGATGAGGCGGGGGCGAATTTTTTGGCGAAGGAGAATTTGAGGGTGCGATTAATTTGGGGATGAATTTTTTGGGATGGAAGTTGAGAGGGTGTGGTGTTTGGGGATTATATTTAACCCTAACATAACTCCCAAACGGATTCAACCGTTTGGGAGGATATATTCCAAACGGTTTAACTCGTTTGGGATCACCGTTTGGGTTTATTCAATAGCCCAAACTGTTTAAACCGTTTGGAATAATTAGCCCAAATGGTACGGTTTAAACCGTTTGGACTATTTTGACATGCCCAAACGGTTTCAATAACTGTTTGGGATGTTTTGGTTTGTACTAGTGTTCTGATACATATCAATATTCATTTTACATACAAAATTTAATATTATATTTCATATGTTTGTAGCCTGCTTCCTCCTATTTAATTTATGTTCAAATCCCTGATTTCTCAGTAATTTCCTAATAAGCTAGCCCCTTACTTTCAGAAGTACCATCTTCTCTCTCTCTCTCGTTCACCAAATTCCAAGTAACAGAGCATTTATGTGTAAGGAGTTTTGTGAATCCTATTCACATTGACAGAAGTTAAATGACATAACAAGCTGGTATTTGGTTGATCCGAGTAATAGACTGCTTACATGTAAGGAATTAACATAACAAGCTGGCATTTGGTTGAGATTGGGATCTGTGATTAGATTAGGAGATTAGCCAAGATTGGGGTCAAAGACAGCAGCTGAGGCACAAATTAAGATGTAAACACTAGCAGAAAATCTCATATTCTAGACGAAAAATTTTCCGTCTAGTTTGATATCCTAGATGGAAATTTTTTCGTCTAGTTTGATATTAAACTTGACAGAAAATTTCCGTCTAGGATATTCCATTTAGGATGGAGTATCCTATCCTAGACGGAATTCTCCGTCCACAATGGTAAAGTAGACGGTTTTGTTATTTTAGTTTTTTTTAAATGAACCAAACATCTTAGATAAAAATTTCTGTCTAGGATGTAACCTAGACGAAAATATCTGTCTAGGATGTTTGGTTCATTTTAAAGAAAATTAAAACCAACCAAAACCCTAACCGACCCAACCACCCCCCCCCAAAACAAAAAAAAAAAAAATTCCCCACTGCATCCTAAAATTGCCGCTTAAAAATCATAAAATTCTCTCACTTCTATCTTCCCATTCTCCTCCCCTCTTCAAAGACCAGGACACCGTCCTCCATCAATCGACCTGCGCTTCTCGTCCCCATTCTCCTCGCCGTCCATCGCCCGCCCCCCCGCCTCGCACCCGCGCCCTCCCATTGGCATTTGCCGTCGTCACCTCCCAAATAAAAAACCCTATTCTCTTTCCCGTTCCCAAAATCATTACACCACCGTCGTCCCCTCTCCTTCCCGCAGTCAACTGATGGCAATCGCGCTCAGCTCTGCTCCAAATCCCGTTCCTCAAATCAAGTGTCCGCGGCAGCCCGGTAATTTTCAGGTACTGTTTTTTTTCTCTCACTCGCCGAAATCAAGTCCTCCTCCGGCCCATTGCGGTCGTCTATTCACGCCGCCACTGACATGTAAGTACTCTTAATCTAAACCATAACCCTAATTTCCCCTTCCTCAAAACCATAACAGTAATTTTAATTTCTGAACTTAGTTTCCCTCCCTTTTGTAGCTAATTATCTGCTGGTTACTCCTTTTACTCCAGCCGAGAAACTTAAGGTAATTTCTGTAGTTTTTTCTTAATTATTCTCATACAGTTTGTGATATTGTGATAAGCTGAAGGTAATTTCTGCAATTTTCTTAATTTCTTTAATTAGATAATATGGGAGGGTGATATTGTAAAGTTCTTATTTTTGTTATATAGTTTGAGACGAAAAATACAGCTGCTAATATTATCTAATCCATAATTAGATGATATTTCGCCATATTTCATCAACACTTATAATCAATTATGAGCCCTAAATTAAATGTAGTGACGACCTAATTAATTAAATGAAACCTTTAATGCTAAACTTAATTTGTAATAACTTAATAAATTTATTAATAATTAATAACAGTAAATATGACCCTAAATTTAATTAATCCTAAATTAAATTATACAAATGTGATTATATACGTTTGTGATTTGAAAATGTGCGAGTTGTGAAAGAAAATGTTTTCAAAAAATAGAGTGATATATTACGCAATATTATATAATAATGTGTTATATATCCAATTTAGGTGGAAAAATATAACGTTATCCCTAGACTCCCGTCCAATAATTACATCCAATTCTTTGAGGTTATAATATAAGATAAACGAGTCAAATTTTGGTAGGAGATAAAGTTTTTTACTCAAAAATGATCGTTCACTTTACATTATAATACAAAAGAATGTATAGAAATTTATAATTATTGGATCTATCCTTCTCGGACGGGTTACAAATATAGTAGTGCATACGTCCAACTTTGTATACTTTATATATTTTCATTTCTTAAAAATTTTGGCATCTCGTACCTATTATTCTCTGTGTACAATAAGCGTATGTTGTTCTGTATTTTGGTCTATTGTCAATACGCATAATAATATCCGCATAGTATACATGAAGAACAATGGGTAGGTACTGCCGAAATTTTTAAGAAATGAAAATATATAAAGAATATGAAGTTGGATGTAAACACTACTATATTCTTAATGCTACTACAACAAAATACAACCGTGCCGATGAAACAAAAACGTCGGGAAAATTCTTTCCCGATGCAAAATGCAGCGTCGCTAACGCGTCACCAAAAGTGAGTCAAGGAAAATATTTGGCGACGCAAACACATTGCGTCGGTAAAAGTCAACACTTTTGGCGACGCTTCATGCGTCGGGAAAAGTATCTCTTTTAGCGACGTGTAGTATTTTGCGTCGGCAAAAGTATGCATAATTTTTTTATATGCGAAATTGCGTCGGCAAAAATTATACTTTTAGCGACGCATGCAGCGTCGGCAAAAGCCAATGCGTCGGCAAAAATAGCTTTTAGCGACGTAAAACTGTTCGTCGCTAAAAATTATATTTTTGGCGACGCAAGTTAGCGTCGGCAAAAGTGTAGCTTTTAGCGACACAGAATGAAGCGTCGCTAAAAACTATATCTTTGACGACGAAAGATAGCGTCACTAAAAGATATTACTTTTGACGATGCAATATAACGTCGACAAAAGTGTTACTTTTAGTGACGCTTTTTAGCCTACACTGAAGCTGAACATTGAACCTAAACATCCACAAAAAATTTGCTCTCATTCACATCAACAAAGAAGCCAGACATCAAATTATACTCCAAACAAGTTGCACATAATGATAAACAAAGAATTTGCTCCCGCTATAAAATAGTTACATTCATTTCCATTTCTAAGCCAACACTCAAAGACATGTTTACATATTCCAGTTTGCTTGTAATCTATGAAGGAAAAAAAGAAACACAATGAACACTCAAAGACATGTTTACATATTCCAGTTTGCTTGTAATCTATGAAGGAAAAAAAGAAACACAATGGAAAGAGAGGAAAATATATTCCAGTTTGCTTGTAATCTATGAAGGAAAAAAAGAAACACAATGGAAAGAGAGGAAAATGTGAAATAAAAGAAAGAAGGGAACAACTGTTTAAATATTCCAGTTTGCTTGTAACCTCATGACAAGAAAGAAGGGAGCAACAAGTTTTGTCAGTGCACTATCAAAACTTGCAAGCATCCATGGTATCACTAGCAGCGGTCACGTTGCCTTGGCCAATATCTGTCTAAGCAAATGGATTCCCATGACAAGATGTGCTGGCGCCTTGTGCGTTTCTGATAATATCACTATAAACCATTCAAGAGATGAAGGCATAAATCAAGTATGAATCAAATAAGCTTCTGGAAGCAACTTACGAGAACATAGAACTAGGTTCTTGAGTTTCCACGTATGGTACACCTTGAAAATTGTAAATGTTCACTGTGATAAGGTAAACAGAAAGCTAAAATTTTGATACAAATGCTAAGAATTATGAAGCAACAGTTATTGCAAACAAAGAACTTACCTTGGATGTTGGAACTCTGAGGTAACCATTGTTGAGGAGTAGGCACCCCTGGAAATGGTATTGTTGTCTGTAGAGAGCTTATATCGAAAAACTGCATAAAAAACAGTCAGGTTCAGGTATAAATAGGGAATTATTTAGAAGTAACAACTTCATATAACAACATATTGCATTGCTGGTACGCTGAGAGGTGTACTTTGCATATGAAGGGCAATGTTCAATAATGTAGGGTTAATTGGACAGAAAGCTATTATTAATTGCAGAGACATGCTCAAACATTTTTAACAGAAACATAGAGTTCTCATTGTTTCGCAAAAGCTCCTGTACAAAGAAAACACTCAGCTCATCATCATTGCCATCCGTGCCTTTTCTCATAGATATCATGTTCACTTGAAAGGAAGAGTTACCTAAGTTTTCATAACTAGTTATCAACTTGAAATTGAAAATACGATATGACAATGTACTTCCACATAACCCTGCTTCAAATGCTGAATAAATCTCGTTTCATTAGCCATTCTTCTGCCTAATTTTCTCTAAATATGAAAACCTGTAACACTTCTGTCTAGATTCTGGCAATATAAGTTTGGAGAAATAGCAAACATGTATATACAACAATAATTAATCCAATGAAATATTAGTTTCAGTATGTTTTTTCGTAGTTCATTTCAAAACAACCACTTTGTATTGGACTTTTATATTTTCAAAGTTGTCAAGTTGATTAATATTAGGACCCATGGCCTTAGATGTACAAACAAAACATCGTAAACTGATCTAATCCTTTGCATGTATCACCCTCTTACAAATTAATAAGCCAAATAAGAATTGTTGTCAAGTTAAAATAACTTTCTTTATTGGACGTTTAATTATGAAAATTCTGATATTGAGTCATACCTTATTGTCGGCTTCTGAATCCAAATCATATGATAAATCAAATGTAGGTACACTTGACACATTTATGTATGTGTATATAATGTTGGTTTTTTAGTTCTTAATGAAAAGTCCTTCTAAGATAATCAGGTGTCCAAATGTTTTCACGAGTCACTATCTATCAATCCAAACAATCCCAGGACCATGATATAGGGAATTGTAAGGCTAATGTTGTATTATGCTTTTCCTAGCATTAAATAAACTAAAATAAGACAATAGAATATATCTATAATACCTGAATCTTGATCATATTTAGGTTGAACTATTTTTTTGTAAGGTATTGAGGTTGTAGTTTAGCATTAACCTCCTGACCAAGTTTCAGGGCATGTTTCTCAGTTTGTGAAATGGATCCTCAGTCTGATCTTTGTTTTTCCCTATCCCACAGGCAATAAACACCTGCAATCAAATCAATGGGAAGTATCAGGCTATCAGCACACTGCATATTTTTACATCAGCTATATATGACAGTGTTTTTCTTCCCTGAAATCAGAAACATATTCTAAAACCAATGTAGAATCATGCAAAAAATTTAAACAGCTGCGGGAGTTGCATTATAGCAATATCAGCATGTGAAGTCGAAGGTTGACAATAATGTTTCACTTTTTAAAAAGTTACTTCATAGAACCTGAATTGGTACTTTAACACGACCGATAAATTTGTCCAGCCTTCCTATTTTGGAATCAACAGCTTGTTGGCGCTTATTCTTCCAACGTTCAATATTAGATTCATTGGTAAAGATAACCTGATTGTACAGAATAAAAATGATAACATGAACATTACCTCCTATATGTAAAATATGAAGTATTTTTCTAGTTAATATAATAACTACAAAGAATTTTAAATGAATAGACAGGTCCACGCAAAGTATTTAAATAATGAAGGGCAGAACATAGAGCAAGTGAGAGTCCAACCAGCTTGTAACCATTCTTGTATAGTTCTTGCAGCTTATCTGGGATTGATGAATGCACCAATTCTGTGTCACATGTTCAGTTCAAGCTATCAATGTTTAATAGAGACGCTTAATTATAAAAGTACGTACACAGAGATCAGTTAAAGGTTAGACAGTCCAATAAATAGCATTTCCTGCTAAACTTCGCTCTAAAGTCTACAATACGCGCAATACCTTTCCCACCAAAAAGTAAACATGCCTTGACACACCTGAACATGACTTGTTATGTCGATACTAGCTTTGCAATTCAATTAATTTCTAGGAATAATCAATATAATTATTCTCCAAGCAACAGTTCCACGAATACTATTGTACCTTTTCACAGATGTGTTCACAAGGCACCCATCAAAATCAAATACAACAATTTTTTTCCGAGTCGTTAAGTCCGTCTTCCTTAACACAAAAAAGAATATACAAGTCACATCTTCATGATAAACAATAACGAATTGTGAAATAAAAGAGAATAATAAGAGAAAACTCCATTCCCCTTCAGTATATCAGCAAACAAGGTAACATGAATTTTCAATTACAAGATAATGATGTCAGTTAAGGACCCAAGTACAAACCAAAATTACAGGAAGAACAAATGGGAAAGCACTACATAAGCAACTCAACGAGATTGAAACATTAAATGGAATAATGGTTCACCAGTCTGCACTTCCAATTAGATTCCAAGAAAACTGCATTCTCACACAAAAAACTTAAAAAAAACCATGCATATATTAAATCAAAATAAGGAGGAAAACCTGTAGTTAAAGAGTTGTGTAGAGGAGGAACTTGATGACAGATTGTTACTAATCGATTAAAAGGCC